TTGTAAATGGGTCTCCATCCAAGTTACGTTTTCGTGAAACAAGAAATCAATTGCAAGTACCATTAAAAAGATAGCTCATCTGAACAAGAACAGCACTGATCACTGATTAATTTTTTCCAAGTTGCAACTCAGCAGGGTTAATTGCAAGATGAAAGAGAAGATTTTACAAGCTTTTGGTCTGAATATGATATGATACACCTTCACTATATATATATATATATATATATGTATGTATATATATGTATAGCCTTTAAAGAATATCCAACATGGACTTATAAGACTCTACATCAGCAAGTGCGATCCAAAACGGTGAAATGAGATCTCATTAGCAAATTACATTGACTAGGCATGGATCATAGCATTGAATCTCAAAGCACAAGCAACTATTTGAAATTCTTGTTCAGGTTGTTTCTTTTACGTATCAAGCAAAGCCTCAATTGAGAGCCAGTTAATACAATATAAAAGAGTGAAAATGTCAGCATGTGTATACATACTATCTTGTTTCAGTTACAATACAAATACCTGTAAAGAATGTCTTGGATAAATTTTTCTGCAACATTCGACTTGAAATTTTTGTCCTTTCCTCTACCAATAATCCTTACATGAAACAAGAACCATCCTTGAAGTGGTGAAACCGGGTGGCATCTTTTATTAATATCTTTGGCTACAAGCCTTGAGATATATTTTATGGCGGAATGGCAATCATTACAAATTCTAAGATTCTTCATTATCCTCTGTGTTATGTTCTCTGAAGTATTTATTTATGCAGATGCAATAGCAAGTTTTTCACTATGACGCCTGAGGATCTGTTCCTTCACCTCTTGCTCAAGATCATGCAATACAGAATCAGTTTCTGGTGTGAAGCCTGTTTTCTTTATCTCCTCCCAGATTTTTGAAATAATGTCGTAGAGTGCATCTTTCTGTGGGTGAAGCCCATCTTCAACCGAAAAGACATGGATTTTGTTTTGGACTGGTACCCAACTAAATCCTTGTTCTTTTTTCACTGCATCATCCTTCAGTGACTTTCTAAATTTTGCAGCATCTTATTACTATGATGAATGCGTGCATAATGGCTATGTATGGATTCAACATGATGTTTGCTTTTCATCAAACTAAAATAGCACTTACCTTCTTCTGCCAACCCCATATATGTGCATGCAGATAGCCCACCAACAAAAGTGATATGATCAAGGTTTATATTGAACTTCAGCATTTTTTTCAAAAAGTTCTATGGCCTCTTTTCCAAAACCACGCGGAGCCAGAGCTATATATAATCATGGAAGTCCATGACACTGTATCCCTGTTGCAGCATATTTGTTTGAATCTTTAACCTTCGTGCTCTTGAATATATTGTTAATCATACTTCTCTTGATCTCATGGCAGTCGAATGGATTTGCTTGCCAAGAACCAGAGAAGCCAAGCTTGAAATGACAATATGGCAGAAAGAGTAAAGCTGTTTGGCTTCGTGACCTTCCCTAATCATCGATCTGAAGAGCTCTAAAGCATCATTTACTAAGCCATTATGCTCATATGCTACAATCATGGCCGTCCAAGCAACTGCATCGAGGCCTTTTCTTGAATCAAATATCTCCCTTGCTGGTTCATGCTCGAATCATCAAAGGAGGGCTTTACCCGGGCGTTTTCTTGATGAACAACCTCGTTAATACTTCTCCGATTCTTAATATAGGACCCATTTAATTAATTTGATTAGATTAAAGAAGTTAAGTAAATTAGTTAATTATAAGAAAAGTGACATATTTTTCCTAAAACACCATAATCATCTTTTTTAATACCTCATCTCCCTCTTTTATTTGATTATGGTTGAGGGAGTATCTATAGGGGTAATTTAGAGAAAATTATTAAATATGAGAAATGGGTCTTATATTTAGGACCAAAACCAACTCAAGAATTAGGTCCTATATTAAGGACCAGAGGAGTACTATATTTTTGCTGAATTGTAACTTTCTATCTCCGCTCCTTTACATGTGTGTGTATATATATATATATAATATAATATAAGAAGTAGTTAACTAATTTTAATAGATTAAATAGATTAAAGAAAGTAACTAAATTAGTTATTTGTAAAAAAATATGTGTTGGTTTTTCTAAAACACCCTCTTAAATAATTTGGATTGAAACTATTCTTTGATGCGAACTCTTTTAACATATGTAATTAATAGGATTGGTTGGGATAAAGAAGGGGAACAAAATGAATTGAGATTTTATATTTAAGAACAAATTTAACTTTTTTACTAATTTTTATATTAACCAACAGAAATAGTAGTTCGGCTAAATAGAGTTACTATCAGGCACTGTTTCTTTTATGTTATAGTACGGGGAAAAAGGCATATGTCTATTATTAGTTAAATTACCTCCGGTTCTAAATATAAGACCCATTTTATAGTGTAAATTACACTACAAAATGTAATATATATTTTGTCGTGTAAATTAGGACCGGAGGAATAGTAAAGATTGAGATGAGTTCATGGAAACTTCAAATTTAGAGTGGTATAACCAATATACTACGTCGAACACTTAATATACCAGTTAATTGACTAATTTGAATATATTAAAAAAATTAGTTAAGTTAATTATTTATAATAAGTAAGTATTGTTTTCTCTAAAATACCTTTTTTAATATGAGTATTAGCTAGAATACTATAAGGGCCACTTTAAAATAAAATAGATAAATATAAGAAATAAAATGTATTGAGATCTTATATTTAGGACTAAATTGAATATTAAACTAGTTTTTATATTAAAAATGGGGGGTAGTATATAGTAAAACTCTCATAGTATAGTTATTTAAACCGATATTTGTAATTCATACCTGGCCAATTTCTTTTTTTAACATAAATATCATTAACTTTATCTTACCTCGTTATCATTCTCCCTCATTGTTTTTTGACATGTGTTCAATCCCAATACCACATAGAGAGGATAAAAGGAAGATTTCGAATGAATGAATTATTGACAATTAGAGTTTTACCAATTTTTTCGCTAAAAAATGAGTTGCAAATATTAATTTAGACAATTGCAAATTCAGGAATCATAATCATATATGAGATGTTTAAATTTTAAATGTAATCTCAATTTGCTATTAGGATTCATATTTGCAACTATCTAAGTTGATATATGTCACTCATTTTTCAAAAAATATTTTTGAAGACCTAACTATCATTAGTTCTATATTTTCAGACTTAAATGTCATTCTCCATGTACAATACAAAGGGAGGAAGTAAGGAATCCATATCCACATGCTGCATTGGCTTAGGCATGTTTGTATTTACTTTGAACTTTCAATTCCGGTTTCCATCTTATCAAGTTCGCACCTTGTCTACCTCTTGTTTCTTTTCTTTTTTCTTTTTAACTCAAAATATCCTTAAATCATTTTGAAATTAAAACTAATCTCTATAGTGTTGGAAGTATTAAAGTTAAAACCCTTCTATCAAGTACGCTTTTCAGGATTTGAATTTGTTTTATCCTATTTACAGATAAAATCGCTTACCTTATCGACCAACAACTTGTTGATTTGTATAATTATTAATACTTGATGTAGTTTAGATAGCTAATAATGACCTAAACATATTTGTTAGTTTTTCTCTTCTTTTTTTTTGGGCTTTTTCCCCTACTATTGGGAAAAAAAACAAAGACTTAAAAATTAAAGAAGTTAATTTTGATTCTAAACGTAAGACATTGATATATGTCATTTATCATATTTATTAGTTTTCTCCAAAATAACATGCACCTTATAAACAGATATATAGTCTAATATTATATAAAAATTTTTAGAAAGTTCATGATAATTTTGTTAGAATAACATAATTTATTTACCTTCCTTTATCTACTTATATTAGTTAAGTAGCTCTTAAATCAATATCAGAGAAGTACATTTTACTTACTATATATTGACTAAATACTGCTTTTCTATATCAAATTTAAATCGGCATGTAACATCTCTTAAAAAGTTCGAATAAAGCAATGATCTTAGCGAAGACAACTTTAAAAAGGAATCTATTTTCTTTAACTATTGAAGGTTGAGAATGTTATGAATCGAAGAAAGGCCAAAGTCAGAATTTGCAGTGGGTATCTATCATATTATCAACTTCTGTTCACCAAACCTTTCACCAAGAAAATCCCCAAAACTCCCATAGCCAGAGTCATCATAACACGCACACCACTGGACTGTGATTCAACAGCAGCCATGGTTCTCTTGCAGGTTCTTGTTTGGCCAGCACAATTGTTTGCCATGCTTCCCTGGAGAAGATTATTCAGATTGTCCAGTTGGTGCATCATCTGACGCTGGCTCCTTGCAATCCCGGATAACTGACCATAACCACACAGAATAGCCACGTTAATCAGTAACAAGAACATCTCTTACCTGGTCTAAACCAAAAAATCGTAATTTAAACACTTATAAGCATGTCAATTATAGTAAGAACTACATGGTTATTCTTTAGACTCTGAATAACGCATGGGAGCCCACCTAGTGTTAGAAATAACGTGAATTTCTGAGAACCTTGAAAACAAACTTACTAAAACTCTGTATCTACTCAAATCCTCCCAAAAAAAAAATGTATTCCGTTCAATCCTGAATGTTAAACCTAGACAACCAATTTACACAAACTAAGAAAATGGGTTAATTATTTATATAAAAAAATTAGTGTTAGCTTGCATCAAATATCCCTCCTTTCAATCATTTACGTTGAATACTACCCTTATTGATTGTGTATATTAATAAGGATAGTTTGCAGAGAATAATAACAATAATAATAATAAATGTGAAAAACAAAGGAGATCGGGACCAAAACAAACTTCACAACTAACTTCTACATCTAAGACCAAAGGGAGTATATTTTAATTGCTTGAATCGTTAACAGGAATTCGACTAGCTTCATCATAATAAAAATACTATTCCAGGAAATTGCAGCTCTCAAAGAATCAGATATAGCCTCAAAATCTGAAGATGAATATTCTGAAAGTAGGAAGATTAGAACCCGTTAAGATACCTCTTCAATTAAAGGTGACTCTTTGGCTAACTGCAATGAAGATGAGGAATTTGGCATAATGGATCCAGTTAAAGAGCCACTGCCCAGACTAGTAAGGAAGTAAGAGGTAGGAGCAGAACCACTGCAAGCTTCGGCTTGGAGGGACATATTTTGCTGGCTGAGAGAATTTTTCTTGATAGCTAACTTTGAGTTCAGCTCCTCAATGCGATTTGTAAACTCGTCCATTCTATCATTAAGAGAGGAGATTTGCTCGGAAAGCTGAGTGATGTTTAGCTGCCAAGCATTATGGGAATGAAAAATAATGGAAAGAAGATAGATATAAGTTCAGAGATCATAATCAGCAGAAGAATGTCTACAAGAACCAGAGAATTACTGAAAGTACCTGATTTGATGGTGTTGTTGGCAAATCCAGATTTCTTTCACTAAACCCGCGATTCTTGGAAACATATAGTGCAAGTTTCGCTAGGTTCTTGTCCCTTTGATTTGTATATGATTGTGACAGGCTGTCGAAGATACATGATGGTCCGTGATATGTAAGAAATATTACAAAGTAATAATTAATTTTTTTTTTCTTGAATATAAGCATGATCGGATCAATATCGAGCACAAAATAGCTTGCCCAAATGTCATGATTAACAGCTTACAAGAGGTTTAAAAAGTTATAGACCCAAAGCTTCTCAAGAATAGCAATAAATAAAAGATCATGGGAATTCTCTGAATCAGTTTTGATGCTGCCAAGATTTGATGGGCTTGGAAATGTTTTCATTGGAGAGAAGCATAAACTTGGGTTAATTTGCAGTGCTCCCATATATCTTTGTCTTGCAGCCTTTAGAAATCATATAACAAATATAAAGAGAGGCTTTTTGGTTTTTACCTTCTGATATGCTTACTTCTCATGGCAACCCTGTCTGCAGAGGCTCGAGAAAGGGCTTCTTTGGGGCTTGACACCAAATCCTCATCTAGGCTAAGCTTTGTCTTCAAATCATCTGGCAAGGCCTATAGAAATAGTTAGATAAAGTGCTGAAGCTAGAAACGGTACTAGTGAACCATGGGAAATTGTCATACCATAACTTCATTTACAAGCTTTTCAAGTTGAATTTGCTCAATGTAGGTACGAGGAATGTAAGAACCATCCAGACCCAGCTGCTCTGCTGCATATTTTACAACCATGCGATCTCTTCCATGCACCTTTTTAATGAAGTTACTAATTAATTAGCAAGACACATAATAAATTACACACCAAAATATTCCAAACTAAACAAACAAAAAAGAATGAAAGAACAAGATGCTAAACCTGGAACATGGTAAACTAAACCTTTGACTGGATTAGAATAAAAGTAAACATGAAAAAAAGATGTATCAAGTCATTATAAAATGAGAACAAAGTTTTCAACATAACAGGCTGTTTCTCTTAAGCATTTGAGAAGAAAACAAATAAGTTTCATGCATGGGCATTTAGGCTGGGGAGAGAAAAGGGAAGAAACAAATTACACAGCATGAGAATTCTCACTATCAATTTTACATTTCTTGAGTTTTGGCTCATACCTTCGAAGTCAAATAGTTTACTCTGTTTGACACTTTATCTGATAACGACTTTTGTTTTGAAAAATGTGACATACAACAAAATTACCAAGAACTGTCACCCTTGCATGTGTGCAATAATGTACAAAAATGTAATAACTCCTCAAATCACACACAACCCTTCGTCATGCTAGCACGATGACTTAATCAAAACCCATGAATAATAGACTGTAAATATGTCTAAACATTTGGACTAAAAGAACTTGAGGGATTGACATAGTAAAATCCAACCAATCATTCAACAATAATAAGTTTAGGCTTCTTTTAGCAGTACCTGAACATAATGTCGATTCAGTTGCTCAAGCCAATCAAGTTTCACACAGATCCTATCGTCAGAGTACACATGGCTATCTCTTTTAAGGATGGCAGCAATCGTGTACCCCAAGGCCATCAGCCCACCAAGAAGGCGCACACTTACCTCAAAAGTAATTCTTGGGGATATAACAAAAGGATTATCTGTCACCCATTCCTAAGAAGTTAAGCATAAGCCGTCAGTTAGTTTGTACCATGTAAGAAGTGCATTATCCATGAATCAAGCAATATGTACTAATGTCGGAGGTATGAAGAGCCATGAAAAATTGAACTGCCCAAGATATAAGATACCTAAATAGCATGCCCAAGCTATGTCTAAAATATCCTTTAACATAATCGAACGAAAAGGAAAGGGAAAAAAAAGAGTCAATTGGATTGGAAAAAAAGGGGCAGGAGGAAAATGGGATGAAGACAAGCTAGATTTGCCTCAGTTGTTTGTCTCTTGCCTTCAACTTCACTCAAGTTAGCTTCTGCTATTTCAAGAGTTTGCTGAGCTGCTTGTCGATCAAAATTTCCCCCAAAAATTATCTTCAAGAATGAAGAGAAACTTTCATAAAGGGAAAAATAGCTCTTGCTTTCAAGAGAATGAAGGCCCTATCTGGTAAAAATACCCACATATTCTGTAAAACTTTTCATTCAAAGAAGCCTATTACATACACTGGCACGTTTGTCCTGTCTTTGGCTTCAAGCAAGCCTCAATTATTATGGAATAATATTAAATGCATAGTCAAATGTCCCAAGTCCAAATTAATATTTACACATTTATGAAGTAATATGTTCAGAGAGACATCACATATTTCATGTATCCATCAAACTTCCTTTCTGTCGAAAGATATATCATAGAACCTCTAGACTCATGGGCCCGTTTAAACTGCTGAATTTAAATGGAGAACTGCATTTATTATTCTATTTCTGTTGGCTTAAATAACAAGGGACCCAGATGAGATGAGGCAAACCTCAAACATCAGACAGTATTTCCCATCTTTGTTCCGCATCCGTAGGTATGATTGGCAAGTTTCTGGATCTTCACCAGGAGGCAGAAGATATATGTCATAAGTCTGCTCTGTTGTTTCCTTATAATCTTCAGAGAGAACAGCTTTAATTTCATCAACTGTTACTTTCCTTGCCGACTAGAATAAATTATACAGTTGATCACTATTCCATCACACAGTATCAGACATAATGAACTGTTCTGGGCACAGACCTTTAGTATGTAGGTAGGACTTTGAAAACCAGTAAATGGATTGAATTTGTTGACAATTTTGATGTGCGCTGTCTGAAGATCTGGTTCAATAAAGGCCTTGTACATTGGGTATACCTGCAAAAGATTGAATTTTAGAATTTCCGGAAATCTGGAAGCTTTACAATTCTAGTTAAAAGATGAATAAGAACATAAAAGTGTGAACCGTCTCAGATATTTGATGAATAATTTCTTCAGGTTCTTGGCCAGCACGTTGTATGTCCCGAATAACTCGTTTGACAAGGTCCAAGTGAACTCCACCAGTGACAGATACTCGAAGGTCCAGTAGGGGTCGCAACTTCTCACTTAATGCATAGATGCCCTCTATGATCACAATGCGGGAGCTGGGGACTTCAACTGTTCTGTTATCAAGGTACATTTTGCTATAAGACAAACTGCATCCAGACCAAATAGGACAAATATAGATCCCAAATAGAAGTGGAGACCCCAAATTTAATGAAACCAATTCACTTAATTTAGATACAAATTTAAGGTTCATGTATCTGCTCGAGATCAGAATGTAGGGCAGAAGTTAAAGGTCTCTACATAATGGCCTGCTTGGTTCCATTTGAAATTTTTTTTGGAAAAAAACACGACATTACAAAAAGAAAAAAGGAAGATTTTTAGACCCCAAAAAAAAAAAAAAAATCAACAACTACTTTATGCCCTTGTAAAAGCTGGAATTTTGAGTTTCCCACTAAACAACCTTCATGTCCAACAGATGGCTGCATGTGCGTGCTTGTGTGTGTGTTTTTCAACTATAAAACAAGTGCATCAAAGTGTATTCCAATGGGTGCAGACTGCATATACAAAAGATGGCTGGGAATTTAACCTGTATCCTGTGCGTGAACTGGACTTAAAATCATAGATTGGAACCTCAACTGATTTTCCTGCCTTCAAATCATGGACATTCTGGAGCAATGTATCATAGTCTGTTAAGCGTGGATCTGCAAAAAGAGATGATAAAATTGACAGAAATACAATGAGATTATTATCTTATCTTCAAACTGTCAGCCATCATTTACCTGTTATAGTAAGCAAAGCATGAATGTGATAACCAAGCAAGATAATTCGGGAACAGGTAAATCTTTGTACTAGACATACAAATCCCATAAACCTTCAAGACACTGAATTACCCGATAGCATGGAACGTCTGCTAACCCATTAAATACGAGGATGAAGTAGAAGTTGAGAAATTATTCTCTAATACAGAAAGGGGCTACAGGATGGAGCGGCTAAAAAGGTATTGTGGCAGCTCAACAAGACTCTAATGAACCTACATGGGAGCTAATGCAGCAACTACCATTGCAGTTCTTGCAATAACATATACATTCCTAACATTCTACAAAGGAAATTCCCGTTAGCTCAAAATCACTTTGAAGATAACATGTTAATTTCACGAAAGCTGACTCTAGAAAAGAAGAGAGGACTTGAAGGAGTGGATAAAAGAGGCCCAGCCTGGTAAGCATGCATTGATATGCCAAACAACTTGCCCGTGCAAATTTGATAACGAAATTGTTAATACAAGGGCATGGAGCTTATAAAACCAGGATTTAACATGCACGACATAGTTTACATAGCAATATGCACGACATAGTTTACATGGCAATATTACAAACAAAATCCCTTCACAGATATCAATTGTAGATATATCATATAAACATAACTTTTTACTTATATCTAAAAAACCAATTTGTGATTGCAGAAAAATAGAAGAATAAACCATATCCTTACTGCTCTAAGAGACTAACTATATCTTGAATTCTATTACACTGCATCCTAACAGAACACTAAATACACTTACCATCAAAGTTCCCATCAACAATTCGACTGGAATCATTGTAATTGTCCATTGAAATGACTGCAATGCCAGGCATGAAATTGAGTATTTTTTCTGTAAATATAGTTTTACCAGCCCCAGAAGGGCCAGCCAATCCTACCAATATCATTCCATCATTTTTCTGGGCTAACAGTTGGCAAGCACGGATTACTATAAAGAAACCCTTGTCAAAGGACAGAAGATCATGGATTGGGACAATCTCATAGCGATCACTGTCTTTCCTCTTGACCAAACGCACTTGATCTTTCAAGAGACCTTGGCGCTTGTAATTTGAATCGGTGCCGGAAGTATCTTGAGCCATTGAAAAGCCCAACTACCTACAAACCAATACTAAAGCCATATTATAATAATTAAATGAACAAGTAACAAAAGAATACAACACGGTGCGTAAAATTTCACGTTTGTGAAAGAAGAAATAGCTGTCTTTTTCACATCCAAATACTAGATAGGACTCTGCAGAATAACTCCTTAATAACCCCAAAGGAAACCCCTCTATACATCCTTTGACGAAAGACTATATGCGGGCAAAATTCAACGAAATCTAGAACAAGAACAACGTATAAGAAGTTGCATTATTCATTATTCATCAAGGCTTACCTCAAACTCCAAACAAAGCACGAGCTCATAATATATATTTTACTAAAAAGTTAAAGTTTACCATTTGAGTAAGGATTATGTGAACCAGCCAAGATGATGCCCGAGGCTACTTAGGTCATATATTTCTTTAGCTTAGAAGCATAAATTGTCCAAGTAAGGAACAGTCCTGGTTTGATACGTCTGACCTATAAACTGGTGATTTCCCAGACAGAATATTGATATCGGGAGAAATTGTATATGTATATAAGGAGTTAGAAACATTGCAAGCATTCGTTAGTGACAAGGATGTTCAATAAGTTTAATGCTCATGTTCAGTTAACAACAATCATGTTATCCCAGTACACAGTAATTGGAGGCCATGCAGTTTAATGCTTATATTCAGTTAACAATCATGTTACCACAGTATACTCACACCAACATTATCATCACTAAGCACAAATTGTTAGTAGTGTTTCATAGAAGAAACCACAGAAAGAGCAGACTCTGATGAATATGAAGCAGAAGAATTCTCCAAACTCCATGGGCAGATAGCTTCAGGGCTATCACTATCTGATTGTCATAATCCGAACAACCCGAAGACATCATGTTCTTCGCACAACCTCAACAGAAAAATAAATGGAACAACTACTTTCAGAGACACCAGCAATGAAAATTGACGGAAACCATGCTCAGACAAAAACAGACCGACAAAAGGTTTCAACCATGTTCAAGCGGCCAGTCTGGATCCATCGCAATGGTGACCGAGAGCAAACGACACGACAAAAATCATCATCAGTAATAATATAAAGAAGGGAAAAAAATTCAAGCATTGCCCGAAAATATAATACCCAGGAGAAAATGCGAATCAAAATCGATCCAATGGGCACGTTTGTGATGATCACAAGCCACAACACTCACCAAGGCTTCCCCAATAAGTCTCAGTGATTCCTGCAACAACTACCCAGAAGTCTCGCCATTATTGAAGGTCGGTTCTGCTAATATGATTCTCTCTCTGCTCCCATTTCAGCGAAAAGAAAATGCTGTGCAATTTTTCAGAGATTTTTTCTGGGGAAGCGGGAATTCCAGAGAATCTGCAAACGGTCCAAAAGCAGAGCACAATATAAGGAGAGAAATAACTGGAAAATTGAAGTTCCGATTTTTGATAATATATATTTATATATATAACATTAAGTTGATATTTTTTCCCACCACTATCAACCCCCCACACTTTCATCATCACTACGTGTCACTTGCCGAAGTCCCAATGACGCAGAAACTTCGCCAGAAAATTCATCTGGAGGAGTTTTGAACAAATTATATGCAACCTGTATAGCAATAAGAGTGAAAATTTGAAGGGATGACTTGACTTCAGAAAATATTTCTACTTTATTTCGGAGAGCTTCTTCTCAAGAACGAAGAAAATAAAAGGTGTACTCTTCACCAAAAAAATAAATAAATAAATAATAAAATATTTTATAGCTCTCAAATTATGCTAAGAATCAAATAATAAATAAATGAACGATTTCGATCAAACACCTTGAAATCAAGTAAAAATTAGCCAATGTCATTCTCTCCTGATTTCTTCTATATTCAATTTTTTTTTTCAAAAAAAGAATTAAAATATAACTAATTTAGTCGACTTTTTAATCCATTTGATTGATTTTAAATTGATGTTTTGCACATTAATTTTTTTTTGTGTGCAAAATGACACCTATCAAATTAATTTGATTTCTAATATAAAAGTTTTAAATAACATCATCATATGTACACTTTTGAAAATCGATCCCTCTTATGTTTTTCTTTTGTATAAAAGGCTCCCATTTATGTTGTGGTCAAAGGTATGAATCCTTAAATTCCTTATGCAATACAAAAGGCAACATACAAAATCTTATTCTTCTTGTTCTTAATATAAAACATATTTAACCAATTTGATTAGATTAAAAAAGTTAGGTAAGTTAGTTAATTATAAAAAAAAGTAACACATTTTTCCTAAAACACCATAATCATCTTTCTTAATACCCACTCTCCCTCTTCTACTTGATTATGGTTGAGGGAGTATCTATAGGAGTAATTTAGAGAAAACTGATAAATATAAGAAATGGGTCTTATATTTAAGACCAAAACTAACTCAATAATTAGGTCCTATATTAAGGACCGGAGGAGTATATGCAAAAGTTGCAATTATGTATGTTAGAAGTGCTTCGGCAATATGGAGGAAATTCAATATTATTTAAATCGAGGCTCAGACCTTGTAAATAAGTAAAATTGTGCTGGAAAACAGGAAAGAACTACGTTTTATACAATTTTATTTTAAGAAAATAGTCAGAAATAAACTTAATATTATCTAAAATAATAATAACACTCACCTCAATGTTATAAAATCATTGCTCTACCTATGATGAACAGACCATTTTTTTTTTCTTTTTCTAGTTTGCAATAGAAGACCAAATTAAAAGGGATAAAATTTATGGTTATTTCCTCAAATGTGATGTGTGAGAAAATGACTTAAATATGTATGGTCTTTGTGTTGAAGGATGTGTGTTTTTAAATGGAAATTAAAAGTCATGACAAACTAACATTCCAAATGTGATGTAAAGTTTGGGTTTGAATTTGGGTAAAGAAATAACAAATTTAGTTTGACAAGGAAGAATTGAACGAGTCTTGTTTTTTTTTTTTTAACCTGTTTTCCCCCAACATTTCTGTTGTTTTTCCGGAAAACTTATTAAATTTTGTAATGAAAAATTCTTTTTTTATAACTACAAGTAATACGATTCAAGGCACAATAAACAAAAAAAAATATTTTTAAGATAGAGCTAACTAATACTACCTCCAAACCTATTTATAAGATTCAAGTGATAGTTATACAATTATAACTTATTTCTTATAGAATAAGTATTATTTTCCACAGTTCATCCCATTTAATTTGAAACATCTATGAAGCACTTCAATATAATTTCATTTTTCCGAATGTAATTAATTACCTTAAAGGTTGTAGAAAAAACTGAGGTCATGTTTCTTATATTCATTATATAAAATTCTCCATTTATTTATGGCTGCGTGTGATTTTTTGTTTCATATATTAAATACTATTAACTGTTAATATTTTAAAAATAGAACACATAATTATATGTAATTAAAGGATTTAATATAATAAATATAAGAAATTTGACGTATGTATTGTCTAAAGATTGTTTAATACATAAACTTATAAAAGTGATTTGAAGGAAAGGGGGAAAAAAGTAAGGATGGTGTTTTTATTTTATTTATAAACTATAAAATTGGGGGGGGCGGTTCTCATCTTTTGATAGAAAATGTTCCTATGTTGCACCAAACAACTCGAAATGATATTTATTTTGATAAGAAAAACATTTTTTATTTATATAAGAGTTTTAGAAAAAAAAATTTTGCCAGCAAGAAAAAAACATAATCATAAAAACACATGATTTAAATTAGTATGTATAATTTGCTCATACCATTTATATATGGTCCCAAATATAAGTCACAAATTAAATGCCAAACAACATCATCTTCATTCATCTTAAAAATCAAAAGACAATAAATTCGGAAGACAACATCTAACTTTAACTAAATTATAAACAACAGTAGAAGAATCTTTATTTTTTAATTATCTAATATTCACTGTTATAAATCTCTATTTTATATTATTTTTAATCAAAATAACTAGCATACAATTAAACACATATTAATTTATGTGGTTATTTTTTATTTTAATTTATAATAATTAATATGAAGTCAAACATGTAATGTGCTTTTAGTATATTATCACTTTCAATGATTTTATGAGCTGTTAGACATATTATTATCGTATGATCATATTAGATTGAACTATTTAAGTTTTTTTTTGAAAAAAATTATTTAATAATTTGATATTTTATTTTTTTTACACATAATATTATGTACACATATGATACTATGTTTTATTTGAGAGTAAAATACTCTACTATCTTTCTAGTTTGCATTAATAATTACACATACCACTTATCTAGTTTAAAAACATATAGTTTAGTCTAATCAGTTAATACCGTTAGGAATATTATAAAAAAATTCTCAAAATATTATTTTTCATTAAAACTTATATTATAATAAATTTTATTTACTATTTTACTGCTCATCCTAATAAATTCCTAGCTTATATTCTTATAGCTAACACAAATTTTATTCAATTAAAGCAAATATAAAATATTTGATTAAAAATTTAACTAATTTTTTTTAATAAATATATATACTTGGCTAAATCTGTTTATGAATTTTTGTAACAAAGATGTTTTTAAAAGTTTTGAATTATAAATTTAGATAATTTATAAAATCTTTTAAACTTATATCATTTAAACTTTATGATAAACAAAAACTATGTATTTGAAATATGTTTTTACAATTTAAAAGAAATCAAAGTAAATAATTTTTAATGAATGTGATAAAAAATTAAAATTATAAAATTTTATGATTTAAATCAAAATCAATGAACTTTATAACATATTAGAAATTTTAAAAATATATGTATTGGAAATATTTTTTGATTTTATAAAAATATTTTACGTAAAATATAAATCTCTAAATAATTAGTAAGTTAAAAAGGGCGTTTCAGTCAAAAAGTAATTTAAAATCAAAATTAACAGTGAACTAATGATTTGAATAGATGGAAACAGAATCTTAAATAGAAGAGAGGTTTATATAACATATGTTTTAATTTCAAGAGAAGTTTATATATGTTTTTAAAATAAATGAGAGGTTTATATGATTGAGATAAAAAAAAAAAAAAAGTCAGTATATTTTACTTTTTATTTAATTATTATCTCATTGGTCCGCTGTCAGCCTAAGTGATTGCACCAAAAAGCCCGTGATCCGCTGACATTTTTTATTGGCCCTCCATTTCCGCCTTTAAAACTTTTGTTGTCCCCCCTGTTATTGTTGTGTGTCAAAAAAGCCAAATCTGTAAGCTTATTCTCCTTCACAATTCATATACAATTCAATTTAGTCACATCAATTAAAATACTCCTCCGGTCCTTAATATGAAACCTAATTTTTGAGTTGGTTTTGGTCCTAAATATAAGACCCATTTTTCATATTTATCAATTTTCTCTAAATTACCTCTATGAATACTCCCTCAACCATAATTAAGTAGAAGAGGGAGAGAGGTATTAAGAAAATGATTATGGTGTTTTAGGAAAAATGTATCACTTTTCTAGTTTTCTTATAGTTAACTAACTTACCTAACTTTTTTAATCTAATCAAATTAGTTAAATGGGTCCTATATTAAGAATCGGAAAAGTATATATATATATATATATAATTAATCTATTTGCGTCTGCCAAAACCAATAGAGTCACATAAAGTTCTTCCAATATCCAAAAGAATCTAATAAAAAGCTTAGACGACGTAAGTGGGTAAAGGAAAAAGTTTACATAATACCACTTCCGGTCTTAATTATAAGATCTTATTTGCAAACTATAAATAAAGTCTTATAATTAAAACTAGAGGTAGCATGAATAATGTTGGCACGGCAGAAAATAACCCAGAATTTCGTACTTATAAGGAGCTTTTAGGCCATTAGCCCAGTTGAGGCTCATGGCTCTATATAAGAATTTTTGGTAAGCCAAAATCATGTGTTGAGATGAGTGTTCTTGGACTCAAATAAGTAAAGTGTCTTGATTTTGTTTTTCCCCATCCACAGCCCATATGACCTTCAATGGATCTTCTTCTTTTCTTTTTTTTTGGACAGAGCAAAGTAGGAAAGAGAGATCACAAAAAGGAGATAAGCCCAAAGAAAAAAAAATTTCACATATTTGAATTGTTAAAGAAAATTAGAGGAATGAAGAGGCATGTCTACGTTATTTTTCACAAAGGTTTTCTCTTCTCTATGTAGTACAAATTATAGGGGGGAAAACATTTTTTTTAAAGGTGATTAAAGAAAAGAAAAGAAAATTAATGGATCTTAATCCTTTTATATGTATATTATATTATTGTCCTTCAACACTAACCATTTTTTTCTTTAAATTCTCCTGCCCATTTAATTTGAAGGGGGGAAAAAAAATTTTAACCGTTGGTCCCCTTTTCCCCTCCCATTTCTCTCTCTCGT